TATTCACATCACGTCGATTTCATTATAATATTAATACATACACGTGTTTTTTAATTTATTCGACACGCAATTTATTTATTTAAATTTTTACCCTACGCCATATCAACGCCATTAATATTCTCCTTGTGTTCCACATTTTCATTACAACTGTGCAATAAATTTTTCATGGTCCACTTTTAATCATAAAACGCGTTGCCAAAATTTGTACCGAGACCTGTGGGATATTCCGGTTTTATAGGTCAAATCCATTAAATACACTAATACAGTTAATACGGCCCTGTATGGTTCACGAAGTCTAATGTGGCCTTAAATTGAATTTCAAATTTGAATCCAATCGCACGAGGGATTCATCAGTTTGAATTTCGGGAGAAGGAAATCGTATCTACCACAACTATCGAATTGTTCGAAAAGTTTTTAGTATTTCCGAAAATGTGCAGGATGTAACGAGATTAAAATTACAACGTGAAATTTGCAAATTTGTTAAAAACCGAGTTACGATAAAATTTAGCATCAAAATAAATCGATGATATTTGAGGTTATATGTAAATTTCGTGATCAAGCTCGATATATGTATTGAGTAAGTCTCATCGTGCTGCAAAATTATTGACTGCGCGGTCACGTGACACGTCTTGACGCGATTGGTCAAAACATTTGCGGTTAATTTTTTGGGAGAACGAGATTAAAAGGGAATTACGTGTTATGAATTTTAACACAAAAAATGGAACCCTGAATATATAATTTGTAAATGGATCTTAATTACCTTAAATAACTACCTTAATTACAATGATTAAATTAAAGAAGACGTTGTGGACTCTTAAAGAGTAATTAGTACTAGGGTGCAATTGTATGTGTACTGTTAAATACAGTAATACGAGTGTACAACTATATCCAAAGCCTTTTTGTTCTAATTATCACTAAACGTACATTATATATTAATATGATTGTAACTAAATTGTAACTAAATAGTAACTAAATTGTGACTATAAGTTTCACAACTAAATTGCAACTAAATTTTGATTATAAGTTTTGTAATTAAATTGTGACTATAAGGTTTAGTAACTAAATTGTAACTAGCTTGTAACTAAACTGTTATTATACTCGTAATTAAATTCGACAAAAGCATAAGTAAAAATTTATTATTCACAGTTAACACAAAGAATTACATTTATGTCTTTATACCTGAATCTCACTCGGTATTATAAAGGTTATAACCATCGGTAGGTCCGCGCCCTTGCAATGTAAACATAAGAAATAGGACACACGTATTTTCTCTACTGGTCGAAACGTCTACAGTCGTCAAGGACATCGCGTCTCTGAGGATTCGAAGGGGAATTAAACGATACGATCAAATTACTTCTCTTGCCTGGGCATCATCTCATAAATCGTCGCCCGAGCAATCCAGCTATAGTATAGTCACGAATATAGGATAGTCAGACAAGCCATGAACACTGATTTTCGTTAACAGTTTCGAATCTTTCCATCTACAGTAACGTTGTATCTTAACTATACTGAAAATTAGACACGTAAGATAAGATTTATGAGAACTTAGTATCCCAAACTATGTATATACTTACATATTCCAAATTTAATTTAATTTTTTAAGAAATACCAAGATTTTGTTTTTTAATATACCATTTTTCATACAACAATTTTTGAAATCTACTGTTTTATGCGTTTGTTTTCCAAAAACTTTTCGTTTATTTAAAAATATATCAAATTCCGATTTCTTACTAAATTAAAATAAAAGAAATATTAATTATTACTAAATATTCAGTAGCGTATTAACCCTTTAAATTCGAAGATTTTTTCGCTATGAAGGAATAGCAATTAGAAGCTTCTTTTATGTTTTTATAAGCTCAGTAATACTTTTTATGCTAAAATATGAAATGAAAATTATGCGTTTGCATCAGGGATGAATGAGTAAAATTATTTTATTGCAGTATTCCGTGTATAGTTATTTTTAATATAGTTATTGTCACTTATTTATCATTCAAGTTATGGAACTAAAACGAATGGCGACTGAGTCGCCCCTCGAGTGCAAAGAGTTAATACGCTACTGAATATTTAGTAACAATTTATATTTCTTTTATTTTAATTCAGTGAAAAATTGGAATTTTATATATTCTTAAATAAGAGAAAAATTTTTGGAAAAAAGATACATGAAATAGTAGATTTAAAAAATTATATGAAAAATGTGTATTATAATACAATAAGGTATTAACTCTATAAAAATAGTTAGAAATTTTGTTTAATTTTTCTAATTGTAGGAACTTTCTAAATATTTTTCTATTATTAGTTGAATATATTAATTCTATTATTTTTATTCTGATAATTAATGATAAATTCTCATCGTGCATAGTAACATGGAGCAAGGTATTTCGTAAATGATGCAAGTACTTGCAAATGTCGATTACACAGAATTACTTCTATCATTTTGGTTTCCATGGATTTGAATATTTAACTGGAAACTACGTTTCCATGAACACGTTCCATGAAGGTTATATGAAGCATATAATCCCAAATTGTATTTCGTACATACACGAATCAAGTATTTGCAAACTTTTTCACCAAATAACGATCTAATGATAATGGCTGCGCATTTGTAATAACTCGTATTTCAGCCGCCAGAGGGTGTATAAATGTTCTTTCGTTAGATTTAACTCTGAATTTTGTCATTGAATATGCAAGCGAGTAATAAAATTATAAATAAAACAGGAATTAAAAAAGATATCTCAGAAAGTATAATATAAGACAAGAAATTTTTAATGTCGAAAAATCAAATGTCCCACGGTAATCTTACGTTAGTTCTTCGACCTGAATCGATAAATGGCGCCACGTGTACAGTGTGTGTAATATGTAGGGTGTCCTAAAATTCACGCAAGATTTGAATTTCGCGCCATTTGTGCGATAAAGTGTTGCCGACGAAAGAAAATGACAGCGTGACAGCTGATAGTTCAAGGTTATTAAAAATGTAACGCTACACGAAAAAGGAAAGTATATTTTTTTATCTATTTTTATTTTTTTGAAAGTATCTTATATTTTTATGTAAACAAAGACTCTATGTTTTTGTTGTTTTCTTTTCTGTTATAGCGCTAGTCGGTAAATTAACCAATGACAATAACATAAACAAATAACAGCAATATTAATACTGTTTTATTTATGAGGCTCACGTGTCTCACTACGTGCACTAAATGAAATATTCATTTCGTGACAGTTAACATGTAGCAAATCTCACTCGAATTATTATTTATTACGCATTTTAATTACAATTTGAGTTGTTATTTCATTTTAATTAATTTATTCGTTTTTGATCGGAAAATTATGATTCTTGTAGACACGATGATGCTAACTAGGTCAAGCTGTAATATCGTTTCTAAATTAAAAAAATTGTTAGTATATAGTTATGTATTAATGGAGAACAACGTAAACAGGAGATAATAATAAATTGGTATTGATTAAAGGATTAAAAAAAGGTATAGGAAGTGAAACGGGGTTGCAAGAAGTCTGTTTCGTATTCGTATATTAGCTGCTTGATCAGTGTCTGCAAAAATTGTGAAACCATTTTTATTGCTCACTTTCTCTCGTTTATTTTCCTATATACATGCTCGTGCTTGTACATTAATTATTCCTCGTATCATCTGTGTTTTTAGGAAAGAACGACGCATATCATACTTATTAAGAATTTTAGTTCTTTTAATTACCATTAGTTAAGATTGAGTTACAAAACTTTTACGCATTTACGAATTTATCAGAAAAATAAATGAATAAAAATAAATATATGTCGAAACAAATTATGCAATTTGATTGACTATTAATTAGAAGAATTTATGTTCAGATCTTTAGACAGTGATATTCCGAAAATGAAAATACACGATATATATTTTCCTAACCTTAAACTTGGACAGTAATTTCTAACCTCAAAAGCAGTCACAGTTTCATTCTCATATACATTGAAAGGTATTCTGTTTCTCTAATAGCCTTATCAAATTTCTTTTAAACAATTGAGGAATTTTTTAAGACGATATTTTATCTTTATTTTGTCAGGTGTACAACCCTAATTCGGTATAAGTATAAGAGGGTTGTTCTCAGTGAGTTCTCGTAGAGTTGAGGTTATAGTAGCAGAGTACAATATCGAACTTACAATAATATTAATAGTTTGAAGAATTATTATATAATCACAGAATGACACTCTACTGTCTTTTGGATATTCTTTCAAACAACGAACAACACTACGTGGTGAGCATGTGTGAGGGGGGGGGGGGGGGAGAGTGGGTAGATACTAAACGTAAGATATTATTTTTGGGAAATGAGTAAATTCCGAGATATTAATGAAAAATTTTTGGCATTATATATAGAAGTCTATTTAATAAATATTAAATTAAATTAATAATAATTTTTCTAATATTTCCATCAATTTTTTGAAAATTCATATCTCTGTAGTGGCATATGTAAAAATTAAATTTGGGTGGTACTAAAAAAAAAAAATAATAATATTCACTATAATGACATGCATACAACAGAATATTAACAAAATTTTTTAATTTAAAAATTCCAAATTCTAAGATTAAAAAATTCCAGACTGAGCTCGGTAGATCTTTCCAAGGTCATCCCAAGGTCAAACACTGTATAATGATGATATCTGTATGATAACGATGTATATCTATAGTAATAAGTTATTCAGTTGATCTTCCCCAATTATCTCTTAGACTTTTAATGATTTTAATTAAACAGAAACATAACCTAAGGGTCCAAGCGTTCGAGGACGTTCCGTTTTATGAATGGACCACTTCTTGTTAAGAAAACGCCCCGCTCATGACCCAACATTCCTTCAGAATTACTCTTCGTTGTTCATAATGAGCGCAACCCCCGCCCCGAAAAAAGTATATTGCTGCAGCGAGAGAAAGGTCAAGTGGACAATTTAAATGTATTGCACGTTCAACAAGTAAATAACAGAGGATCGTAACTCGCTGCAAAGTTCGTTCCTTAGTGCTGTTACTCACCGACAGATGGGACCTCGCGTTTCCGCTCGAGATCAACTTTGTTCCCGACGAGAATCACACCACGGCTAGCCATGTAGTCGCTCTTCCACAAGTACAGCAGCGTTTCTTCGGCCATTTTCAGGCTTCGCCTGTCCACCACGGAGTAAACTACCACGTAAACGTCCGGATTGTACGTCGAACAGAACGTCTCGACCTGGAAGAGAAGAAGAAAAGAAGCTTTGTTAATTTTGGGAGTATCACGACGATTAAATCGTCTATATGCCTTTAGTATTAGGCGGTTTGTTTGTGAGGAGAAGAGATGAAAGTATAATAATTAGACTGATGTTTTTTATTTTTATTTGGTAAGAGGTTAGAAGTGATAAATAATTGTTGTGAATAGATTGGTTAATTTGTATATAGCGGTGCTGTAATGAGTTACTACAAATAGTGGTATTTAAAATGCACGTAGATATAAGCCGTGGTGACGCTAGTTTACTGTAGATATGAACCGGGGTGGCGCTAGTTTACTGTAGATATGAACCGTGGTGGCGCTAGTTTACTGTAGATTTAATCACTACTGTAGATTATTATATTACTGTATGTATTGTATATTATATTCTGTATTATATTACTGTAGATATAATTATCTATAATTATCTCTAGTTTATCTACGTATAACGTCCGTCTTTCATCGTTATTTCTAGTCCCCTTATTGAATGGGGAAGTCATTTATTGAGCAATCATTTATTACCATTTATGGAGACATTGTCATATATTCAATCTTAATATTTTTCGAAACCAAAGGACAAGATTATTTTAGAAAGAGAAATATACATAGTGTTCGTACGTTTCTTTAATTTCTTCTAACTATACTAATTATTTTGATCCATATCAACGCATGAAATTTGGTAATCCGAAGTAGGCATTTGAATCAGTGTTTTCCAACCTTTTTCAGATCATGTCCCATCTCGATACTTCAACGATTTGGATAAATAGAAAAAAGGATTTCAATGCAAAATATTAAAAAATAAATAAATAAATAAAAGAATAGAAATATAGATAAAACTGTATTTAATCCTGTGTTTCGTAATTGATACACAGTGACCAACGATTTTAAATATATGTCGATATGTAGTAGTGTATGTAACAAATGTCATATATACTGGGTGTCCAGAAAGGTTGGGATCAAACTGAGACTACGTGGAAAAAGGTTGTATGTGGTAACTATTGCGAATAGATTGGTCGATTTGTAAATAGTGATTTAGTACTGAGCTATTATTTAAAATGAACATTTACTGTAGATGTAAGTCGTGGTGGCGCTAGTGAGTTAAATGGACAATCGCCTTAAAATAATTCAACGATATATACCATACTTATCATAAACGTTTGTTGTAGATATAAGTCGTGGTGGCGCTAGTGAGTTAAATGGACAATCGCCTTAAAATAATTCAACGATATATACCATACTTATCATAAACGTTTGTTGTAGATATAAGTCGTGGTGGCGCTAGTGAGTTAAATGGGAAATCGCCTTAAGACTGCCGAATCGTTTACTCGTGAAAGGGTTAAATATATTATGAATAGTATAATACTAAAATTATTAAATTATTAACATTTTTATTTATGTCATTTCTATACTTTCTCCTACTTTCTTTTTTGTTTTTGATAGGAAAATGAGATTAAATTAAATAAATAGCTCTTGGAATATTTCGTGCAGAAAAATATGAAAAATAAATTTCTAAAATAATACTTCACACAAGAACCATAAGTGACTTGTTTACATCTTCCAAAACTACCATACGTCCAAGTTTTCAACTTTTCTCCAACTTAACACAAACTCCTAAACTTTCTTAAAGGGAAACCTTAGTACCCTTGCAATTTAAAAGGATATACCATTTTTAAAAATACCTTTTTTACCCTCTTTTAGGTTTTCTTTCAATATTTTGTACATACATTTATTCGTGTTCCAGTAACATTTGTAAATATTTGTTGGAAGACAAATGATTACAACTGCCAGTATTATAGACAAATAAAAATTTCTGTTTTCTTTAAATAAAGAAAAAAAATAAATAAATTACAGTAAATATTAAAATGATAGTTGATAAAATAACATATAGTTAACGTTCATTACCATTTTGGTCTATCCCAAATTTCCAGGGCTTTGTCATCAACACCACCATGTTGGCATACTTAAGCGTTTAAATTAACAATTAAGATTGCGGTCTAATGAAATTTCCGAGGAGTTCGAGAGAAAAGCGTTAACGTAACTTGAGAAGCTGGTCACGCAACGAAACGATTTCGTGAAGGGGGAGAAGTGCTTAGGGGTGGAATAAAAATATATCTATTGCATGAGAGGGTGCGTGCTTGGAAACACATCGAATCTAGAGGCTGAATTAATCTCGAACGCACGTTTCCTTAATCAAACACCACGGGTTGCTGAGACAGTTTTATTTTTCAAGAATTTTTCTTCTGGTGCCATATACAGTACTTCAAACTCAAAACTTCGATTTTTTAATAATAATGTATTGGCTGACTTTTGAAAGTAGAAGAATTTTAGAAATTTTTAATACATTCTTTCATTATTTTTTTTATATAAAAAATTATAATTCTTAACTGGTATCATATTGGGATATAAATTATTATGATAGCTTGGGTTATATTTGGGTTGAATATTAATTTTATGTATATTTTGAACTTCATAATTTTGGTATTAGTTTATGTTGTGGTATTATTATACCATTTTTATCATTATTTTACATTTCATTCTTTTATTTGGCACATTATTATAATATTAATATAAAATTTGTATTACTTCATTTTAATACATTATTATACCTATTTTACAATTACTTTATCATTAAAATATAAAAGTAATTTGTATTTATTTTAAATTATTTTATTGTTCATGTAAATGTAAATGTCAAATGCAGAATATAAAATGAAATAAAATATTCTAAAATTAAATACATATTGGGTCGTATAACACATACAATGTCAGATTTTTTCACAAATTAATAAAAATTAGTCTTTTTATGAAGGACTTATTTGCTGAATTTTTTAATCATTCCCATGTTTTTGAGATGGTTGTTAATGCTTTTACAACACACCCCAAACTTTTCTGAGAGGGGTGATTAATGATAAGTACAAGAGGGATCAACTTTCACCAGTTATTTCCAGTTTCCATTTATCACTTTCTTATTCAAATTAACTTAATATTTATTTTATAAGTGGATATTTGTATGAAATAATGATAAATTTACAATTACCAAAATTAAATAGCATAATCAAAATTGTATGTAATGTTGCCAAAATTATAATTATAATTATAATTAATAATTTTACTTTGTTAAGACATTACAATACTTCATTGAAATGTTATTTATGATTGTTTGAACTATAGACACAAATGTCAATAAATTCAATAACTTATACATACATGTACAAAGAAATACCATTATATATTCAACGTATATAACTTTGAATGAACATATAATACATTTCATATTGAAAGTGTGTGAATAAGAGCCAAAGACAAAATTTCCATTGTGTATGAAGCATGAATGTGGTCTATTGTTAATATTTTATAGTCTTAATTTTTGACATTTAAATTTCTGACATTTCTGTTAATAATTTCTCACTACCATCTATTTTCCTCACTTTCCCAAAAAATTTTACAATTGGTATTTCACAACTTCAATTTTTTAATTTTTACAATTATATAATTTATCAATAAAGCTCAAATTATTCGATTTAAATGTCCCGATTAATTCCAATATCGATAGCAATCGATAGCTCTCGCAGCGCCATTTGGGAAATCTATTGGCTGCCATTAGTGACACGTGAGACAGCGAACACGCTGGCCAATAAAATTTTTTAATTACGTCGTACAGTAATTTCAAGTTTGAATATATTTACATATATAGTACTAAAAATTTCGGATTCATAAATTATTAAAATTATCGATTTATTCCAGGTAATCTTGAGGTTACTTATGCACGATGTGACTCTTTTTTTGTTAAAGTTTCCTGTGTTTTCTTTGTTGCATCTTTTATTAACAAGAAATCTCTACTGGCCAATTCTGATGCACCTAAACCCAAACCTAACCTAAACATAACCCGCAGTTTTCCTGCATAATTTACAGACTATTAGATAAAATATTGTCACTCACAATTTTTTGAAATATCTGAAAATTATAATGGAAAATTGCAAACAACGGAACAATAAATGAAAATTAAATTTTGATTCAATTATCTATATGTAATAACGTCTACAGGAATACTCGTAACGCATTCGAATCGAACGGCAGAACGCTACAAATCTGTGGCTGTCATCTACACTGACCTGTGTTCTTTCCCGCCATTTTTCAACAAAGTAGGAAAGCAATGGCTACGCAGTTCTTGTATTAAAATGGAGTTTTGTGAGTGCAAAGTTGTAGCTTACTAAAATATATTTGTAAATAATACTGTATTTATTTATATACACGTGCAAAATTGAAAACTATTTTGTGTATAGTTATACAAATGTGGAGTAATCTGATTAGTTATCTATTACCTATTATCTATTAGTTATCTATTAAGTAATCTATTGCTATTTAAATTTTACGAACTGCTTTTTTTTGTTACATATACGTATTGAAATTAGTATATTGTCTACCTTGCTCATTATTAGTAAATAGTTATTAAAATAGTTATTAAAATTAATTTGTTTCAGGTTAAAATAAAAATGTTGTTAAGAAACATATGAAGCTTGATTGACACTGAGATAACATTATATTTAGAAGAGTTTATATCACTACATTATCTTTATTAATACTTTAAATAAAATAAAATGAAAAATAAAGATTTATTTGGACCCTCAAAATAAAAAAATTATTTTAGCTTTTGTAGCATTTGATTAGAAAATTGAAAATAAGAGAATAGGAACACCAAATTACTTCTAAGTGAAATTTATAATACTAAATTTATATGTACTCCGTCCAATAAATAATTATTCCTCTTAAATAAAAATTTATAATATTCAATAAACATAATAAAAATTTCATATTTTAAATACTCTAAAGACTATCTTCTTTATATTATCTTCTTAGCAATATTTATCATCGTATCCAGCATTAATTAAAGACTTGTAATTAAAAACCCGAAGGTGTATTAAATTCAAAACAAAATTTCCTTTCCTTTGAAGCCATCTTCCATGAGAAAGTTCAATTTCTTGAACATTCCTTGTTTGTTATTTTATGCCTCGTAGCAAATTAAATGTACAGTATAATCTTGTGTATTTTCAGCAAGATAAGGATAACACAATGTCGAGTAGAGATAAGCCAATCTTTTTAAATAAGGAAGCTAATCCTTTTGCCATGGAAATCCGAGTATGAGAACGTCTAGCATGATGGATGCGGAGCAAGAAAATAAAGACCAAGGGGAAGGAGCATACTAAAAAAAAAAAAAAAAATGTTAAAAATGGAAATCAGGGATGTTTGTGTAATTAAACATTAACGATGGAAATTATTTATTGAAAATTTCTTCGATTTACAATCACACTTACCGACATCTCTGCCGCAGGGTGATCTATAATCTCCAGTTCCGTTTCTTGGCCATTGAGCATCACAGAAACGCTTTTCTGTCCGTATTCCTCATCTGAAACAAATTTTAATAACAATCTAAGGTTAGGCTTGAAAATATACCAAATACGATAAAAAAATTAAAGCTTAAACACAATTTACAATTTCAATATATATTTTTAGATCTTCTTACATATATAGAATAATGTTTTCATACGTGATAATATTTTCGGATAAGTATTTACGGCTTTGCTGGAATCAACCGCTTATATACTTATATACTTATATAGTACACAGTAGAGTGATTCGTGGCGCCATCTGTGGCTCTCCCGAGAACCTCCACAACAGGGAAGTATTAGACTTCGTTCGAAAAATTCTACATTATTGTAAACAAGACGTATTTACATTTTTAAACTGATAAAAGTAAATAATAAAGGTCATCATATTTTACTGATCCAGTGATTCTCATTGATCTTAGAACACGTAACAAATACTGTAAGTTATTTTTTTGATAAAGACATTTTTCAGGTTAATTTTTTAAAACATATAATTAAAACTTCTGATTATACATCTATATATAGGGTTAATAAATTTTAGGTTAGGTAAATGTTAAGAATACTATTATCAGTATGATAACGAATTAAAATTTCTTTTCTTGTTTAGAATAACACAAAACATTTCGGGTGAGCAGAATATTTTTCGAAGCAAATTCAAATTGGAATATAATCAACGGAACACACGTAATCGTGGAATTGCATCAAATTTATGGGTATTAATATACACAACGTACATATGTGTATACGTATTTCATTTTGATGGGAACTAATTTTTTGTTTTAGTGCCTTTTACGTGAAAAGGAGATTGACAAGAGCAGAGGATGCGCGTACAGTTATTGGTTCTAAAAGTTCGAAATTTTCCTCGGTTCCACGTCACTCTGTTGAATAATACCTACCTTCGGCGCTGGCTTTAATTAAAAACATTTTTGTCCGGCTCATACGTTTATTTTTTAAAGCGTTCAACGGGAACTCTAAATTTCGCGCGGCATTGAACATGTTAATTACGAGCACAGTCGAACGGTTTCAAGGCTGGCCTCGCGTTTATAAAAGCAATGCTATCGTATTAAAAGTTAATTAAAATCGTGTAACAAACTAGCCACGCAACTGTTACACGACAATTGTAATTCAGGATGAAGTTTGACTATTTAAAACGTATTATTTAAGAGACGACTATATATTGTATATAATAATATAAAATAATATATTATATATAATAATATAAAATAATATACTATATATAATTATAAGAAAAGACAGGATTATGTCAGTATTACTTAAGACATAACTGTATATTGTATACAATAATATAAAATAGTATATTATATATTATATATAATAATATAAAATAATACATTAGATATTATATATAATAATATAAAATAATGTCTTATACATTATACATAATAATAAAATAAGACACGATTACATCAATGTAATGTGATGTTATTTATTATTTATTATTTATTATTAAGGGCACGTGCTGTCCTTACATTTTAGTGGAAAAAGAAATTTCTTAGTTCCTTTTAATTTTGTGAAAAATTTGAACTTGAAGGAAAATTTTTTATTTATTTACTGTAAATTAAAATTGAATATCTGGTATTATATGATTAATATTCACGGTCCTTTGTAATATTTTGTATTTTAAATTGTTTAATTGTTTATGAATTGTCGAGTCATTAATAATTGTAATATTTAAATATTTTATTTTATTGTTTATGACATTCCTGTTAAATTTGTCAATATTCACCGTAGACAGATTTTGAAAAAACGTTTGCAACATTCAATTTGCCAATTCAGAAACATAAACTCACAAAAGAATTCCACATTAATGAAAATATTCATATCTATATATAAAATCACAGAATTTTATAATTTACGTTATTCTTTCAGTATTTTTTTTAATTCGATATAATACAGAAATATTTACTCGAAATGAATTAATTAAAGGACTAAATCGAAGAAATAAGAAGCATGCACAGAAATAAAACAAAATGGCGACGAAATCCGTGTCTTATATCAAAAGACATAGTTGATACTCTGAAAAATGAATAAAATTGAATGAAAAATTGTAGAAAAAAAATTATATAATATTTACTTTACATTTCACATTTTTATTATATTTTTTAAAACACTATTTCTAGATTTTTAATTACACCATATTTCAATTTTAGTTCTATCCTTGGAACATGTTTGAGAAGTTTAAACAAAACACGTTTGGGTACCCTATATATATTTTAACCACTCAAATAGAAATTATAATATATTCACTTAACAAAAAATTTCTTGTATAAAATGTGTATCATACTAAAATGACACTGAAATTAGGAACAGAAATGAAAAGCAGTATGGATTATTGTTTCCACCTGTACTTTTGAATACGAAATAGAAATTAATGAAATTAATGCAAACAAAATGAATGAAAATAAATGACAAAATTTAATAATTTTGCAAAATTATTAAATTATTGCGTAGTACTATAATAAACGTAATTTCTAGGTTGGATGAAATCTTCAATATAAAAGGCTGGACAACAAAAATTTAAAGAAAGGTGAAAATAAAAGAAGATGGAGTACAAGTCGCACCGACATAAAAGCTTTACCTAGTTCAGAGTAGTCCCGAATGACGGTGAAAACGATTTTTCTCACGGCTGTAAAATTCCAAGCTGCGTTTTCAGTGGGCGGGAATTTTATTTAACACTACACGTTACCTCGCACTTTTGTTTCTCGCGTTGAAAAAAATTCTTTTCCTACGCTATATCGAGTTAATCCCGACTCTTGCATACTGCTGTACAAGTATAAATTGATACGAAAAATTCGACTGTTGTTGGCTGGAAATCTTCAAAATTCTAGATTTAAAGGTCGAAGGTGAAGCCTATAGGATTTAAAGTAACAAATTATATACATGGTATATATTATAGTATATATTAGTACAGTATATATTATAATATATAGACAGTAATTATAGTACAGATAGTATTATAGTATAGTCAGTAATTATAGTATAGACAGTATTATAATATAGAGAATAACTGTACTATAGACAGTAATTATAGTATAGACAGTATTATAATACAGAGAATAAATGTACTATAGACAGTAATTATAGTATAGTCAGTAATTATAGCATAGTCAGTAATTATAGTATAGACAGTATTATAATATAGAGAATAATTGTACTAAAGACAGTAATTATAGTATAGACAAAAATTATAGTGTGACTAGTATTACAGCATAGATAGTAATTCTGTACACAATATATATAGTATTATAGTATTATAATATAGAGAATAATTGTACTATAGACAGTATTATAATATAAACAAAAATTATAGTGTGAATAGTATTATAGCATAGACAGTAATTCTATACACAATATATATTATAGTATATAGATAGTAATTATAGTATAGATAGTATTATACTATAAACAATAATTATACTATAGACAGTATTATAGTATAGATAGTAACTGCATACACAGTATATATTAAAAAAGGAGAACATTCTCATTTCCTGAATATTGTTTGAACACTTATTTAAATAACAAGTCATTTTTAGAATTCATATCTTCTT